TTTGTCGTGAGTCTGTTGAATATTTCAGAAAAAAGGGGCCGCACAAAAGCAACTATTTTATCTTAATAGATCAATTTTTAAACTTTTTGAAAAATAAAGTAAAAGTCTTTTTCACTTAAAGTTACATCTGAGCAGTTTTGGTAAATCTTGGAACCCATGAGGCTGTGGGTCTATAGCTTTGCTCTTTTACTTTCTCCTTTCTCTCTTTAAAACTTTAAGACACAGAGGAACAGAGCCTTTTACTCCACTGGTTGTACTTTGTGTGTTTATTTAACTTTTTTCTCATGATTTCCATTTACTTACATTAGAAACAAATGAGATTAGGCCACATTCACTCATCATAGTGTGAATGTGGGGGCATAGTGTTTGTTTAAGGTTTGAATGGCCCAGGGGAAGAAGCTGTTAGTTTGTCTGGAGATGTGGGTCGGTGCCTCAGAGACACAAACAGGTGGTGGGTCAGGTGCAAGGGGCTCACCTTTGATGGTCCTGGTTTTTCTGAGACAGGAGGATCTGGCGATGGCCTCCAGGGGTGGCCGAGGGCAGCCAATGATTTTTGGGGTGGTATTAATTACCCGTTGAGCAGCCTTCCTGTTCTCAATAGTGCGCACTGTGTACCAAACACCCAGGCAGTAGGAGAGCATGCTCTCTCTCTAATGAGAGTGGAGCGGGCCTGTCTGTGCCCCATGAAGTCCATTATGAGTTCTTTTAAGGACGTTCAGCTTCCGGTTATGAGCACAAGCGGGACAAGTTCTCTCCACCCTGTCCGCTGTCTCATCTCAACAGAGAAGAGTCCAATCATAGTGGTGTCATAGGCATACTTGATAAAGACGTTGGTTGGATGGGTTGGTGTACAGTCATATGTGTACAGGGCGTACAGCAGGGGGCTGAGAACGCAGCCCTGAGGGGATCCGGTGCTGAGTGACAGTGGGGGGAGAGGTGGGGCCGAGTTGGACTGATTTAGACCGGTTTGCAAGAAAAACTTTGATCCAGGAGGATCACGGAGGATCTGAAGGTGGTCCAATTTGGCGGTGAGGATTTCTGGTATTATGGTGTTGAACGCTGAGCTGTAATCCATAATAAGCATCCTCATGTAGCTCTTCCTGCTCTCCAGATAGCTCAACTCTCTGTGAGGGGTGATGGTGGTGGCATTCTCTGTGGATCGATTTGGTCTGGAAGCAAACTGGTGGGGGTCGAGGGACGGGGGGTAGACAGTCTCTGATGTGCAGAGACACTATGTGCTCGAAACACTTCATGATTACAGACATGAGGGCTATAGGCCTGTAGTCATTGAGGCTGTCTATGCCAGTTCAGTCTTTCTTGGGGATGGGAAATGGTAATTCATTAGGTAGTAGAATATGGGGGCAGAAAAGAATAAATATCACTGATCACAGAGAGACAGACAGGAAAAAAATACTCTCACTTCTACATATAACCCCTAATTTAGACCCTTCAATCAACTTAACCTTCTGTCTGTGTACTGTGAGGGAAACAGGAGAAACCTCAGAAAACTCATGCAAATGCAGACCGCTTCACTGGTATGCAATGATCACACTAGAATACCTGCAAGATTGGTACAAACATCAATAAAACTAGCATTAATCAAATAACTAAAAACATATAGTGTCACAGTAGAATTTGAGTTGTAAAGGAAAGCATCTTTAAGAACAAAGTCAAAGGTGACAACAGGAGAGTACAACAACAGGGCCACTTGAAATGTATTTGAAATTGTGCAGAGTTCCTATTGGTAAGCTGGATGTTGAGGTGTGTGTAGGTGGCACTGATCACATAGCTGGTTGCTATAAAAGCAGGGTGATTGCTGTTCAGCAGCCACGGATCACATCATAAACTGACTGACAGCAAATACAATCTCTGAAAACTGATCTGTGTGGCTTGTTGTCCAAACAGGAGCAGATATGGGGAAAAGCAACTTTGAACTGGCACTTTGCCTCGTACTCATTGCTGCCTGTGGCTTACAAGGAAACATTAAACGTGACACACAAATTTTTATTGGGAAAAGGAACTGGACACAAGCAAGACTATTCTGCCAGACACATTATGTTGACTTGGCTACTTGGGACATGATAAATATGAAAGTTATTATACCATTTTTGGTCCAAAGGAATATCCCAAACATTTGGATTGGTCTGCTCAGAGATCCTGAAGATGACTCATTCTGGAAGTCTATAAATCTAAGGTGAGTGTCAATTTTGAAATGACCTTTATGTCAATATCCATGTCTGTTTATGTAAATATGACAAAACTGAGTTGCTGATTTTGAGATGATTGTTGTGTTGATTTCAGAACAGGTGAAGGTGTCTCAGGTGATGACCTCTCACATACCAGCAAATGGGCCTCTGCACAGCAGGACTACTGTGCAGTTGTAGGAGATGACCTCATGTGGTACAGTGCACAATGTTCAAGTATCAATAATGTCTACTGTTCCCGAGGTGATGTAATCCAGTATCACACTGTTATGCTCAGTTGATATGATGCTGTAAAGTACTGTATGGAAAACTATGGTTACCTAGCCACTGTCACCCAGGTAAACTCAGGTGATGTTGACAAACGGGGCTGGATTGGACTGTATCGAGTGGGAGGCAAGACCTGGAACTGGACGGGTAGTTTAGCATCTAGCTACAGAAACTGGGCACCAGGACAGCCACTCACTGCAGACTGTGGCTCTTTGCATGCTTTTATCGGAGGCTGGGTAGGCTATGCTTGCTCTGAAAAGTTTAACCCTTTTTGTTTTGTTGACAACCTGGTGGTGGTGAATGAGAACAAGACATGGGAGGACGCCTTGATTCACTGCAGAGAGATGAAAGCATCATGTGCTGGCTGTACGTACGACCTCCTGAGCCTGACCGATGTCTCTCAGTACAACTATGTCAGAGACAGGATCTACAGAGCAACCACTGATGAGGTTTGAGTTTATTAGTTTTGAATTATAGATGTTCTTCTAAATGCATCACTTGTTCATAGATTCTGCATTAAACACCAGAGGAGTTCACGTTCAAGTGGCTTTACTCTTTCTACTAGTTCAGTGCTTTAAGGCATAAATTCCAGGCTGTGCTGTGGAGATGTCCTTTCATGTCCAATGCGTTGAAAATGTATACTCTAGAAAAGAAGTGCGTGTAAAAATATATATATATTTTATTTATTTATTTATTTTTAAAAAAAGGATCAATATTCATTTCAGAAAAAGCTTCACTAAAGCCTTAGTAATCAGCATTTGTGTCTGGCTTAATTTGCAAATATAAATCTTTTTGTCAGTAATTGATTGATTTGCCAGTTTATTTGCATTTTTCAGCTTTCTCAAAAAACTACCAACACTTCCACAGCCAGGAGTGACTCTCCCAGTTTTGTCCTGTATTTCTCAGGTTTGGATTGGCTTGCGCTTCCTGGGAGGAAAATGGTTTTGGAGACAAACCAGGTCCCAAAGATATGCTGCTGGACTGTCCGTCCAACTGGGAACACTGTGGGACAAACAGCACGTGGATGATCAGGGACTGCGCAGACAGAAGAAACTTTGTCTGCATTCAAGTAACCCCTCAGTGAATGAAACTGGCAGCTTAACATCAAATGCTACAATAATGCTTGTTCTATCAGTTCTTTAGCATATATTTAATTATTGTACACCTCTAAGTTTGATTCTAATATTATTAATCCTTTCATTTTATGCAATATGACTGTAACAATCTCTGAAAACAATGGTGTACTCTGAGGTTGTAGATACTTTGAAATGAAAAGTGCAGGTGATGTTTCATTTGTTGTGTTTAAACCTCTGCATCTAGCATATAAATTGTTTTGGTTTGCCTTGCTTTTCATTTATAATTAATTTTTCATTAACATGAAATCATGACTTGCTGCTGCTACAGTGATACAGGCTCCTATAATGTTGGCTCTGTTAAGGTTATTGTAAAATATTTCAATTCAACAACCATCTCAAACAACTCTAGCTCTCAAAACGTAAGAATATTATTTAGTTTTTTTTAAAATACTCAGTCTATACCGATATATTTCTTGTTTGCTGAAGACAGATTGCATCATTTTGATGTTTTAAGCAATTAAATAACATATTAAGAGAAGTATAACTGACCACCTGGGCTCTAGTGGTGGGAAGGGCCTTTGCGAGCCTCCATTAAAGCAAAATCGCACCAGAAAAGAAAAAGAAAGGGAGGGAAGAAATGTCAGGGAAGTCTGCTGTGTGGAGAGAAGAGCAGAGCAGCTACAGGTTAAAATATATCATATAACATTTAGAAAAATTTAATCTAATGCAATTTAACATTCTGTTTTTAGGTTGACTCTACTTTAGAATTACAGTTTCATGAATATGAACTATATCTAAAAGTTTGGACAATCATTTAAGCTTTCATAATAATCAATAAAAAAATGTAATTACATTATTAACCATTATTATAAGTTTCATTAAGTTATAACTGGTGAAAAACTACCCGAGGTTGGCAAGGTCCCAAGATAGGGCTTGCACTTCTCACCACTGAAATCCAATAGGCCAGATAATTTAATTTTAAAGATCTAATTAGTGATTTTGCTAAAAAGAAAATGTGCCAAGTGGCATGTTACTGAGGAATAAACTCCATCATCATCTATACATTATCATTATTGATTTATTATATTATTATTTGCATTTATTATAATATGATTTTTTTAAGATTTCTTAGCACTTACGATTTTTTTGGCCTTCATGTTTTGAACCATTACACTGTAGATTAGGAAATCTGATGCTTTGTGTCCGTTACTGCAAATAAAACATGGCTCCAATGAAGAATTGTTCAGTTGTCTTTATCGTAAGCAGTTTCTAAATGTGAGCCTTACAAAGCTAGGATTGCCTTTTGACGCCCTTTTATGCAATAAATGAAACAAAGTAGATTTATTTACTTATATTAAAATCAATCATTCACGAGGGAGATGGGTTAAGAAAGGAAGCAGGGCCACAGATTATTTATACATACAGTCCTTAGTTTTGCGCTAAAGGCCCCCGGAACCAATTGTTAGGTTCCTACAGTAAGTAGAGCATTGTCGGATGCATTCCGAGGTGGAGCTGAGCTTACTTCCGTTTGTCATTCAGCTAGAGAGCTGCTGGATACATGGTGTGTCGCTTGTCAGGTATTTAAAACGCAGTAACGTTCTCCTTTTCTCTTTAAAAAGTCTTGATACGTCAAAACAAGGAAAGAAATGAGATTCGTAATCACAACATAGGAAAAGAAGGTGCCGGAGGGTTTGTTTGCTGGATGTCGCGGTGTGTCCGCACAGGGTGTGCGGGATGTAGCTTAGCTAGCTAATGCACTGGTTATTCATTTCCTTTAGGACCCTACACTACTCTGTAGCTCTGCTAATATTCATATAAAATACACAAGCTAAACGACTCACTCAGAGACGGCAGACTGTCTTTGAATTTTTGACATTTTAAATTCCCGCGATCAGTGCAGTGTCATCAGTGAGGAGTTGATATTAAAATACTTTTACAGTAAAGAAGTAAACCCTGGCTAAGGTTTAAATGGTGCTGAATGAACCAAAAACCCAGTGACGGTAAATACAGCAGATATTATTAAACTGTAACTGATAGTAATTCAAACCCGTAAGTGAGATATTTCGAACTTTTTGTCTGCTGCGGGAGTGAGCAGCTTTTCTGTGTTTTAAATCACTATAGTATCATATATAATCAAAGAGATGTTTTCTCTTGTTTTCTAACACAGTAAGTGTTTTTACTGACTTAAACTAATGCAATTGTTTCCCCCAGTCTTTGATCATTCTCTCTCTTTCTCTCTCTGCAGGAAGCTGCATTTTGTGACGAGACATCATGACACTTTTTCACTTTGGGAACTGTTTTGCTCTGGCCTATTTTCCGTACTTTATAACCTACAAGTGCAGCGGCCTGTAAGTGTCTGTGTGAATCAGTCAGTAATGCTTGACGGTATAAGATTTAAATGCAGTTACAAGTAACACACTCATACATGGGCTCACATAGACCCTTCTTTCACATTCTTCTTCTTCTTTGTCGTAACATATGTTGCCAGACTGGGAAGTGTCTGCTAATAATCTTCTTAGAAATGTTCGAGCTTTTGGAGAGGGTCCACATAATCCTCTTAGACCTGCATAGTGTGCATAGTACGTTCATTAAAGGCATAATGTAAACCCTTTCTCTCACCATTACTGCATGGATATATTAAAGCTCTGTTCATCTAATTCAGGCATGTCAAATTCATTTTAAATGATGTGCTATATTCAGCCCACGTTGATTTTAAGCAGGCTGGACCAGTGAAAGTACATAATGAATATGTAAAATTACAGAATAATTTCTATTAGTTGATTGCCAAGACTAATTATAAAAAATATAAGTTTCATTAATTTACAGAAGTTTTTTATTTTTAAAACTGTGGCCTCATTGTTTGTTTGGTTTTTTAAACATAATATAATAGATGGTGGAAAAACAGAAACCTTTGTCTATTAATTGTTTGTCTATTAATTTCGGGGTGTCAAACATGGTGCGAGGGCCAGATGCAAGTCGACACAGTAAATGTAAATGGACTGGTTCTTATATAGCGTAAATGAACAAAAACCTTGTCTTTTAGAATTACAGGGTATTCTAGGCTATGAGCTACTATTACATTTTCTGTACAATTATGCATTTATTCCTTAATTTAAGCACTTTAAAAGAAATATTAAGCTATTTAAGAGGTTAAATGCACAAAGGGAGGTTTCACTGGTCCAACCCACTTAAGATGCAAGTGAGCTGTATAATACCATTCATACTATACAAATTACTTTTGTATAGTATGAATGGTAAGCTGTTTTTTTATTGATATGGAAAGCTGTTAAATGTATGAAAATGCATAATAATAAGTTCATAATCTAAGCTGTTCAGTGGGCTCAATTGGAGTTTTTTGCTGGGGCTATTCTGGCCCCGGGCCTTATGTTTGACCCTCTTGAACAAATGTTCTCTGTTTAGCTCGGAGTACAATGCCTTCTGGAGATGTGTCCAAGCTGGAGCAATGTACCTGTTTGTCCAACTTTGTAAGGTGATACATTTTTTGTGGTTATGAAAATGGATCATATTTTTTTGAGGCAGGAAAAAAAGCACAAAGTTAACATAAGTAAGTTTGGGTTTCAGATGCTGTTTCTAGCCACATTTTTTCCCACGTGGGAGGGAGGAGTAGGAGCGTATGACTTTGTAGGGGTGAGTGTTTAATGACAGTAACAACACCAAAAAGGAAGATAATCGTTCTTGTCATGTGTATATCATTAGAGAAAGGAAAGCATACAGAATACCAGCTTTAGCATTAGGCTGTAATGTTCTTGTTTGCGTTTCAGGAATTCATGAAAGCCACAGTGGACCTGGCAGACCTTTTAGGCCTCCATCTCGTTATGTCTCGCAACGCTGGCAAAGGAGAATACAAGATCATGGTGGCTGCCATGGGCTGGGCAACAGCAGAGCTCGTGATGTCGAGGTTAGCACTAACGTCTCATTTTATCAAAATGTGCTACACATCTACACAACAGGGGCTCATTCTGCATGTACGATCACACGATCAAAGTCTTTAATGTGCTGTCACAGTGAAGTTTGCATAAGCTCAAACAAGCTCAGGAGACGTTTTCTGTAGCATAAGCAGCATTACGTGAGGACCTGAAACCGTGTTGCTTAACCATGGCTGTGCCGTTCTTGTGAGAGGAACTGGTTTTAATCGAGCCAGTGATAACGGGAGGATTTAAGGGGAAGGAAAATAGCTCAGTCATTAAAATCCCTTTGCCTGCTCATTTCTTTTAGAAAGATGTCACTTAAATAAATGATATGAAATGCATTCACTGCCCACAGTATATGACACCATTTCACCATGACACCAGCCATTTCTGCTGCCTTGTTTTTAAGTCAGACAACAGTAAAAAAAAATCCTACATAACATTTAAGTAATATTTAAAGCTGATAACTTTAAATATTACTTAAATCCGTAACCTGTTTTATATTGTTTTTTTTTTATAGTATTTCATTTTTAAATTTTACTTTGTGGCCACATGTCTGTGAAAGGCTCTTTATAAATAAATGTTATTTACCTTGAATATTAACGGAGTACATAAGAAAACATGTAAATGATAACTTAATTAACATGATGGACACAGAAGTTGCAACAGTTAATGAATATCTTACTGCAGCATGCTTTTTGATTATTAGTTTCCTGTTACTTTTCCCTCACTACAAAGTAAAAGAAAAATATCCAAGACAACTGTTCCTATTAAAAGCGGAACAAACATACCTGTTTCTTCTCTTATCGATAATTTTCAGTTTTACGTTTCTCACAGACTTCTAAAATATTTACTTTTGTCTTTATGACAGGTGGCCTATTTAAGTTTATTAAGAACTGTATATATGTAAAATCATATTATATAATCACCGAGTGAAACATGAAAAACAGGTCCCATAATTCACTATCCTGCTTTTCAGGTGTCTTCCCCTGTGGGTCGGAGCCAGAGGGATTGAGTTTGATTGGAAATACATCCAGATGAGCTTTGACTCAAACATTAGTTTGGTGAGTGACTGCTGCTCTTCTCCCTTTTTAATATTTTCACACTAGTGACTCATCTTGTTTGTAGCGGTTTTACAGAAACATCACAGTAGAAACAATTTGTTCTTTGCATGTTCAGAGAAATTTGAAGTTTAAACGACTTCATTCCTGCGTTTCTTTTCTTTGTTATAATTGGCATTATCGTCATTGTTGTAATATGAGTGATTTTATTCTGGTACATTACTAAGGTACATTACATTGCTACGGCATCAGTGGTATGGATGTTTACACGATACGACCTTCCAAAGAGCTTCAGGCTGCCTGTGACTGTGCTGCTGGCTCTCTGTGTCTATAAGGCCTTCTTAATGGAGTAAGTCTTGGATGTTTCATATTTCATGTTACCATTCTTATATTATATAGGCTTACACAATATAAGAATTATTGTATTTTTACCACATTAAAGTCATTTTTTACCTACAATAATATATTTAACATTTATCTGCCCTGTGTGGGTGTAGCAAGCATATTACTGTATGTACAGTAATATGTTGTATCCTGGACTAACATTGTTATGAAGATGTAGGAACAACACCGACAGAAGGATATCAGATCACACTTGCAACAATTTGAGTAACTTGAATAACTCGAATACAAAAAAATCCCTGATGCAAATTTTTTGCTTCGGTACTTCATTTAATGCAACAGAGATTGTCTGGGGTACCTGGATGTCCATCATGTGCATGCACAGAGGTACCAACGGACTGTTTCTGTTGGTACCTCTGTGCATGCAGGTACTTCAAAGTTACATGTGCAACCTGGGTGCAGGGGAAGAGCAGCAGTCGTCTCCTTTTCATTGTTTCACCTTTAAGCGCATACTGTGTATGTTGTTACCATTAGCTAGCTGCAGTGCTTACCACCTGTGCCAGTAGCCTCGACCCTTCAGTTGGAGCTCATTTTTTCTCTCCCAGAGGCTTCATAGATCACAACTCTCTGCACTCTGTTACTCAGAGTCGTGACAAAATGACAGGAGACGCAGTTGGGTGCAGTGACTGTCCAGGTGTTTCACATTGCCTGCAGCAGTTATCCAGAATGCATAGAACCCTAGTTATATTTGTAACTCTGATTTTACATCAAAGCCAAACGTCCAACTTAGGTGGGAGTGCATTAGTCCACCAGTGATGCTCCAACAATATAAATCTAGGAGGTGTAGGATTCATGAAAGGCATCAGCACAAAGCCTGTAATATTTATCAATTTTAAAAATTATTACAAATAATGTTCGTAAAATCATAAAATAAAAAGTCTGTAAAAAATACCTGAAATAGCTTTTAGGAAAAAATATTTTTGACTCGATAAACTGTTGCTTTATTGTTTGAAATTAGTTTTTGGGATTTAACTGCTGTTGAGTTCATGGGATTCATATACCGTACTTTCTGGACCATAAGCCGCTACTTTTTCCCTAGGTTTTGAGCCATGAGGCTTATACAAAGGTGCGGCTATTCTGTGGATTTTTCTTCCACCACTAGGGGGACTCTAACCAGAATTAGAATAAAAAACAAGATAGATGAAAAATCAATGCAAAGAAGAATACACTACTTTTTCTTTAGCAGATAGAACACGCACAACAAATTACCAACTGGTAATTATTTTCAAATCCTCGCCCCTTCATCATGGAAACCACACTGGATGATCAGGGACTGCGCAGACAGAAGAAACTTTGTCTGCATTCAAGTAACCCCTCAGTGAATGAAACTGGCAGCTTAACATCAAATGCTACAATAATGCTTGTTCTATCAGTTCTTTAGCATATATTTAATTATTGTACACCTCTAAGTTTGATTCTAATATTATTAATCCTTTCATTTTATGCAATATGACTGTAACAATCTCTGAAAACAATGGTGTACTCTGAGGTTGTAGATACTTTGAAATGAAAAGTGCAGGTGATGTTTCATTTGTTGTGTTTAAACCTCTGCATCTAGCATATAAATTGTTTTGGTTTGCCTTGCTTTTCATTTATAATTAATTTTTCATTAACATGAAATCATGACTTGCTGCTGCTACAGTGATACAGGCTCCTATAATGTTGGCTCTGTTAAGGTTATTGTAAAATATTTCAATTCAACAACCATCTCAAACAACTCTAGCTCTCAAAACGTAAGAATATTATTTAGTTTTTTTTAAAATACTCAGTCTATACCGATATATTTCTTGTTTGCTGAAGACAGATTGCATCATTTTGATGTTTTAAGCAATTAAATAACATATTAAGAGAAGTATAACTGACCACCTGGGCTCTAGTGGTGGGAAGGGCCTTTGCGAGCCTCCATTAAAGCAAAATCGCACCAGAAAAGAAAAAGAAAGGGAGGGAAGAAATGTCAGGGAAGTCTGCTGTGTGGAGAGAAGAGCAGAGCAGCTACAGGTTAAAATATATCATATAACATTTAGAAAAATTTAATCTAATGCAATTTAACATTCTGTTTTTAGGTTGACTCTACTTTAGAATTACAGTTTCATGAATATGAACTATATCTAAAAGTTTGGACAATCATTTAAGCTTTCATAATAATCAATAAAAAAATGTAATTACATTATTAACCATTATTATAAGTTTCATTAAGTTATAACTGGTGAAAAACTACCCGAGGTTGGCAAGGTCCCAAGATAGGGCTTGCACTTCTCACCACTGAAATCCAATAGGCCAGATAATTTAATTTTAAAGATCTAATTAGTGATTTTGCTAAAAAGAAAATGTGCCAAGTGGCATGTTACTGAGGAATAAACTCCATCATCATCTATACATTATCATTATTGATTTATTATATTATTATTTGCATTTATTATAATATGATTTTTTTAAGATTTCTTAGCACTTACGATTTTTTTGGCCTTCATGTTTTGAACCATTACACTGTAGATTAGGAAATCTGATGCTTTGTGTCCGTTACTGCAAATAAAACATGGCTCCAATGAAGAATTGTTCAGTTGTCTTTATCGTAAGCAGTTTCTAAATGTGAGCCTTACAAAGCTAGGATTGCCTTTTGACGCCCTTTTATGCAATAAATGAAACAAAGTAGATTTATTTACTTATATTAAAATCAATCATTCACGAGGGAGATGGGTTAAGAAAGGAAGCAGGGCCACAGATTATTTATACATACAGTCCTTAGTTTTGCGCTAAAGGCCCCCGGAACCAATTGTTAGGTTCCTACAGTAAGTAGAGCATTGTCGGATGCATTCCGAGGTGGAGCTGAGCTTACTTCCGTTTGTCATTCAGCTAGAGAGCTGCTGGATACATGGTGTGTCGCTTGTCAGGTATTTAAAACGCAGTAACGTTCTCCTTTTCTCTTTAAAAAGTCTTGATACGTCAAAACAAGGAAAGAAATGAGATTCGTAATCACAACATAGGAAAAGAAGGTGCCGGAGGGTTTGTTTGCTGGATGTCGCGGTGTGTCCGCACAGGGTGTGCGGGATGTAGCTTAGCTAGCTAATGCACTGGTTATTCATTTCCTTTAGGACCCTACACTACTCTGTAGCTCTGCTAATATTCATATAAAATACACAAGCTAAACGACTCACTCAGAGACGGCAGACTGTCTTTGAATTTTTGACATTTTAAATTCCCGCGATCAGTGCAGTGTCATCAGTGAGGAGTTGATATTAAAATACTTTTACAGTAAAGAAGTAAACCCTGGCTAAGGTTTAAATGGTGCTGAATGAACCAAAAACCCAGTGACGGTAAATACAGCAGATATTATTAAACTGTAACTGATATTAATTCAAACCCGTAAGTGAGATATTTCGAACTTTTTGTCTGCTGCGGGAGTGAGCAGCTTTTCTGTGTTTTAAATCACTATAGTATCATATATAATCAAAGAGATGTTTTCTCTTGTTTTCTAACACAGTAAGTGTTTTTACTGACTTAAACTAATGCAATTGTTTCCCCCAGTCTTTGATCATTCTCTCTCTTTCTCTCTCTGCAGGAAGCTGCATTTTGTGACGAGACATCATGACACTTTTTCACTTTGGGAACTGTTTTGCTCTGGCCTATTTTCCGTACTTTATAACCTACAAGTGCAGCGGCCTGTAAGTGTCTGTGTGAATCAGTCAGTAATGCTTGACGGTATAAGATTTAAATGCAGTTACAAGTAACACACTCATACATGGGCTCACATAGACCCTTCTTTCACATTCTTCTTCTTCTTTGTCGTAACATATGTTGCCAGACTGGGAAGTGTCTGCTAATAATCTTCTTAGAAATGTTCGAGCTTTTGGAGAGGGTCCACATAATCCTCTTAGACCTGCATAGTGTGCATAGTACGTTCATTAAAGGCATAATGTAAACCCTTTCTCTCACCATTACTGCATGGATATATTAAAGCTCTGTTCATCTAATTCAGGCATGTCAAATTCATTTTAAATGATGTGCTATATTCAGCCCACGTTGATTTTAAGCAGGCTGGACCAGTGAAAGTACATAATGAATATGTAAAATTACAGAATAATTTCTATTAGTTGATTGCCAAGACTAATTATAAAAAATATAAGTTTCATTAATTTACAGAAGTTTTTTATTTTTAAAACTGTGGCCTCATTGTTTGTTTGGTTTTTTAAACATAATATAATAGATGGTGGAAAAACAGAAACCTTTGTCTATTAATTGTTTGTCTATTAATTTCGGGGTGTCAAACATGGTGCGAGGGCCAGATGCAAGTCGACACAGTAAATGTAAATGGACTGGTTCTTATATAGCGTAAATGAACAAAAACCTTGTCTTTTAGAATTACAGGGTATTCTAGGCTATGAGCTACTATTACATTTTCTGTACAATTATGCATTTATTCCTTAATTTAAGCACTTTAAAAGAAATATTAAGCTATTTAAGAGGTTAAATGCACAAAGGGAGGTTTCACTGGTCCAACCCACTTAAGATGCAAGTGAGCTGTATAATACCATTCATACTATACAAATTACTTTTGTATAGTATGAATGGTAAGCTGTTTTTTTATTGATATGGAAAGCTGTTAAATGTATGAAAATGCATAATAATAAGTTCATAATCTAAGCTGTTCAGTGGGCTCAATTGGAGTTTTTTGCTGGGGCTATTCTGGCCCCGGGCCTTATGTTTGACCCTCTTGAACAAATGTTCTCTGTTTAGCTCGGAGTACAATGCCTTCTGGAGATGTGTCCAAGCTGGAGCAATGTACCTGTTTGTCCAACTTTGTAAGGTGATACATTTTTTGTGGTTATGAAAATGGATCATATTTTTTTGAGGCAGGAAAAAAAGCACAAAGTTAACATAAGTAAGTTTGGGTTTCAGATGCTGTTTCTAGCCACATTTTTTCCCACGTGGGAGGGAGGAGTAGGAGCGTATGACTTTGTAGGGGTGAGTGTTTAATGACAGTAACAACACCAAAAAGGAAGATAATCGTTCTTGTCATGTGTATATCATTAGAGAAAGGAAAGCATACAGAATACCAGCTTTAGCATTAGGCTGTAATGTTCTTGTTTGCGTTTCAGGAATTCATGAAAGCCACAGTGGACCTGGCAGACCTTTTAGGCCTCCATCTCGTTATGTCTCGCAACGCTGGCAAAGGAGAATACAAGATCATGGTGGCTGCCATGGGCTGGGCAACAGCAGAGCTCGTGATGTCGAGGTTAGCACTAACGTCTCATTTTATCAAAATGTGCTACACATCTACACAACAGGGGCTCATTCTGCATGTACGATCACACGATCAAAGTCTTTAATGTGCTGTCACAGTGAAGTTTGCATAAGCTCAAACAAGCTCAGGAGACGTTTTCTGTAGCATAAGCAGCATTACGTGAGGACCTGAAACCGTGTTGCTTAACCATGGCTGTGCCGTTCTTGTGAGAGGAACTGGTTTTAATCGAGCCAGTGATAACGGGAGGATTTAAGGGGAAGGAAAATAGCTCAGTCATTAAAATCCCTTTGCCTGCTCATTTCTTTTAGAAAGATGTCACTTAAATAAATGATATGAAATGCATTCACTGCCCACAGTATATGACACCATTTCACCATGACACCAGCCATTTCTGCTGCCTTGTTTTTAAGTCAGACAACAGTAAAAAAAAATCCTACATAACATTTAAGTAATATTTAAAGCTGATAACTTTAAATATTACTTAAATCCGTAACCTGTTTTATATTGGTTTTTTTTTATAGTATTTCATTTTTAAATTTTACTTTGTGGCCACATGTCTGTGAAAGGCTCTTTATAAATAAATGTTATTTACCTTGAATATTAACGGAGTACATAAGAAAACATGTAAATGATAACTTAATTAACATGATGGACACAGAAGTTGCAACAGTTAATGAATATCTTACTGCAGCATGCTTTTTGATTATTAGTTTCCTGTTACTTTTCCCTCACTACAAAGTAAAAGAAAAATATCCAAGACAACTGTTCCTATTAAAAGCGGAACAAACATACCTGTTTCTTCTCTTATCGATAATTTTCAGTTTTACGTTTCTCACAGACTTCTAAAATATTTACTTTTGTCTTTATGACAGGTGGCCTATTTAAGTTTATTAAGAACTGTATATATGTAAAATCATATTATATAATCACCGAGTGAAACATGAAAAACAGGTCCCATAATTCACTATCCTGCTTTTCAGGTGTCTTCCCCTGTGGGTCGGAGCCAGAGGGATTGAGTTTGATTGGAAATACATCCAGATGAGCTTTGACTCAAACATTAGTTTGGTGAGTGACTGCTGCTCTTCTCCCTTTTTAATATTTTCACACTAGTGACTCATCTTGTTTGTAGCGGTTTTACAGAAACATCACAGTAGAAACAATTTGTTCTTTGCATGTTCAGAGAAATTTGAAGTTTAAACGACTTCATTCCTGCGTTTCTTTTCTTTGTTATAATTGGCATTATCGTCATTGTTGTAATATGAGTGATTTTATTCTGGTACATTACTAAGGTACATTACATTGCTACGGCATCAGTGGTATGGATGTTTACACGATACGACCTTCCAAAGAGCTTCAGGCTGCCTGTGACTGTGCTGCTGGCTCTCTGTGTCTATAAGGCCTTCTTAATGGAGTAAGTCTTGGATGTTTCATATTTCATGTTACCATTCTTATATTATATAGGCTTACACAATATAAGAATTATTGTATTTTTACCACATTAAAGTCATTTTTTACCTACAATAATATATTTAACATTTATCTGCCCTGTGTGGGTGTAGCAAGCATATTACTGTATGTACAGTAATATGTTGTATCCTGGACTAACATTGTTATGAAGATGTAGGAACAACACCGACAGAAGGATATCAGATCACACTTGCAACAATTTGAGTAACTTGAATAACTCGAATACAAAAAAATCCCTGATGCAAATTTTTTGCTTCGGTACTTCATTTAATGCAACAGAGATTGTCTGGGGTACCTGGATGTCCATCATGTGCATGCACAGAGGTACCAACGGACTGTTTCTGTTGGTACCTCTGTGCATGCAGGTACTTCAAAGTTACATGTGCAACCTGGGTGCAGGGGAAGAGCAGCAGCCAGCAGTCGTCTCCTTTTCTGTTGGTACCTCTGTGCATGCAGGTACTTCAAAGTTACATGTGCAACCTGGGTGCAGGGGAAGAGCAGCAGCCAGCAGTCGTCTCCTTTTCATTGTTTCACCTTTAAGCGCATACTGTGTATGTTGTTACCATTAGCTAGCTGCAGTGCTTACCACCTGTGCCAGTAGCCTCGACCCTTCAGTTGGAGCTCATTTTTTCTCTCCCAGAGGCTTCATAGATCACAACTCTCTGCACTCTGTTACTCAGAGTCGTGACAAAATGACAGGAGACGCAGTTGGGTGCAGTGACTGTCCAGGTGTTTCACATTGCCTGCAGCAGTTATCCAGAATGCATAGAACCCTAGTTATATTTGTAACTCTGATTTTACATCAAAGCCAAACGTCCAACTTAGGTGGGAGTGCATTAGTCCACCAGTGATGCTCCAACAATATAAATCTAGGAGGTGTAGGATTCATGAAAGGCATCAGCACAAAGCCTGTAATATTATCAATTTTAAAAATTATTACAAATAATGTTCGTAAAATCATAAAATAAAAAGCTTATCTAGCACAGGTGCCGTATATTATGTTCAATTTGTTAGTAAAAATTATTAATAATTGTTCGTCTTATTCTTTTTATATTATATTTTCAGAACGGTAAATATAAGCATGGATATAAGTCTGTAAATAATTGGTTACTCTGAAATATGGAGGAATATTTTATTGTGATTATAAACTGTACTAGTTTTGGACTCGATCACAAAGCTGATTTTGACTTGTTATGATAACTGTCCATATGAAACACGAGTTAAATTGGTTTTTGTGGTGTTTAACTTTGCTATTGTTTGAGTTCAAGGGTGATCATATATCCACAATTGGTTAAAGAAGCTCTTGGCCTTTTTTCTATTGATAATCCCGACAAAGAACAACGGTTCTACTCTTTCTGAGACACTTACTTATAAGGACTTAAAGGAAAGAAGTTGGGAATTCCTCTAGAGCTATTGTATAGTTTTTTTGCTTTTGTTTCTAGGTTTCAAAGGCTTTTAAACATTCATAGAAGAGTCTTTGTTTGGTAGCTGAGCGTTGTTGGTGGGGTAAGTTCATGTTTTGTTAGTTTGGTAAAATAAACTTGTACACTATTTTGTCATCTTAATTAGGTTTTTCCTGGTTTGATGCGATTGTAGAGCTTATACAAAGGTGCGGGGGTCTGACTCTATGTCGCCGTATGTTTTCACTTGTGTGAACACACAACGACACCTAAGAGTTCGGGAATCTACATGCATATATTAATGAATACAGAATAATACAGATACGAGGTGAAAATTTCGAATGAGCTCAAGTATGGCATATATCACGTATTAATTCGGGTGTTAAGTCATGATGGAAGTGTAAGCTAATCATCTAGTGTTAGCTGCACCTAATGCTAATTACAGTTGGGCGCGTTTTGACTGGTAATTATTTTCCAGATAGATCGCTCTATGCTTTCTATCCTATTTCATTCATAAACTCCACTTTTATGCATAGTAAGTTCGGTCGATGGCAAGTTTTATTGAGGTGTGCATCGAGTCTTGTCTTATAGGAGGGAAACTGCCCGCCTTAGTTCGTTTGCATACTCCAGGCCTTAACTGGTATTTTTCCAAGCTTGGTAGACTTCTAATGTTCTAACTCCGTGCAGTTCGCAATTGCTATTTTAGGCGTCATATGAGCCAATCTAATGGGTGAGTACTGTTGATGGCGGTGCTGTTGGAAGAGGTCTCATGCAATGCCTAATAGTCGAGAAAGCTTTCCGTGTATATATATAATGATATATATTATATATATATATAGGATTTGTATATTGCTATGATATATATATATATTTATAAACTAGTATAATTATTATATATATATATTATATATTTATATATTATATTATAAGTATTATATTCATATGATATATTGTAGTATCATATATATAGTATTAATAGTTTATATCGTAAGTAAGGTGATTTATATATATATATATTGGTATCATATATACATGAATACATATATGTAGTATGAATACTTATATTATAGTCATATTTTGTATGATATATATATTTATTATATTTATTTATTTAGTGAGTGTATCTTATCTACTGTATATATAATTAGCAATTATATTCTATTTTATTTATATTTTTGTATTAATATGTTATTTTGTGGATGGATGATGACAGTATACAGTATATATATAATCGTGGTTGATATTGATCATTATTCATTTAGTTGGTTATTGTTCGCATTATATTATTATTAGTCCTTGTATTGTGCATTTATTATCCACCTTATATATGGATTGCAGGTTGTGTTATTGTAGTGTAATCATATATTATAGTTCATTTTGTGCTTTAATACATAGTTATCTTGGTTTAATGTGTTACCTATATAGATAGTAGGGTAGCATATAATATTGTTTCTTATGATACCATACTACATTATATATCTATATATTGAGAGTAACCTATATGATTATCTTATTTCTTGAGGTGTATGGTTTATTTAGGTTTCATATGATAGGCATGTAAGGTGATATATATTGTTTATATAGCGGTTATTTGTAACCAGTATATGGCTTTTTTTTGTTATAACATAGTATATTTATATTAGCTTAGTGATTTTTATAGGCTGTTTGTGGGATGGTTGTTCTGCATCGGTGAATTTTTCTTTTTAGTGGGTGCTGGTTGCTGGTGCGGGTTACATGGATTATGGGCGTGTTTTATGATATGTTTGCGAAGCCGTTCCCATGTCTCTATGGGTTTCTTTTTTTGTCCTCCTCTCCCTCTGGGGCAGCATTCGGGCTCGCGATCCTGTTCACGCGTGGCCGGTCTTTGCGGGTCCCTTCTGTGTTTCCTTCCCTGGGTCGGATGCCTCTGTTTGCTTTCTCTTTTGGTTTTCTGTTTCTCTTCTCCTTGTTTGTTCTTTCCTGTTCTCTGTGGTTGGTTTGTGGGGTTTCTGCTGCGTGTGTGGTTGGGTGGGGTGGGGCTGTTTCGGGTGCGCTGTGTCTGGTGGTTTTGGCGTTTGTTCGGCTTGGGTTGTGTGTTGTGGTGGGGCTGTCTGCGTTCTCTTATCTCTTTTTGTGTTGCCTCTTGGGCGTTTGTGGTGGTTGGTCGGCGGCTTGGTGTGCGTGTTTGTTGCTGGTGGCTTCTTCTGTGGGTGGCTTTTGGTACGTTTTTCCCGTTTTGTCCTCTCCCGTTATGTTGGCGCTGGCCGCCTCCTTCGCGCTCGGTTTGGAATCTAGTAAAGGAATCAAGGGAACTAAGATATAGTAGAGTAAATAAAGATAATATAAATATATATATATATAGTATATATACATATATATATATATATATACATATATATACATATATATATACTATATATATAATATATATATACATATATATATATATACATAT